AGGGAACGTTGTAATTTCAGGAGAGGGAATATTTGAATTTTTGCATGAACAGAAGTCTAAAATAGTCTTGGAGCGTCAAAAAATCGAAAAGAAATTGTGTGGTTGCTGTTGTATAGACTAAAATCTTAATATTCACATTTGCAACGAAGTTTTCGGCTCGATTTATTGGACGGATTACTATTCTAGTAAATTCCATAGGTGAATTTCCAGCTCACGTAGCGATCCTGCTCATTGGTTAAATATAGTATGGACAATTAGAGTTGGGCAAAAAGGGAGAACAGCATGTGATAGTACGCAATATGGCAGCGCTCCACCCCTTCCCTTCAAAGTTAATGCATAGTTAAGCTGCCAATAAATTCTTGTACAACTAGAAATGAAACCAGTACCGAATTATTGCTGAAAATAGCTTAGCAGGCAATATGCCAACTTACCTTCTTGCTCATGCGCCGGGCAGGCTGAGCTTTTCATTTGAAGAAATTAATGAGAGCAAATAAGAACAGTAGCTTCAGCCTAGCTTGTTCAGAAAAATGGTGACCTAAGTTTTCTTCTGATTGATCTCTCTCTTTATGTAAGTTAATGGGTTCTGACCCTTGAATAGAATTTTGAAGGAATCCATCAACAACATGTAGCCTTCTGGGTAAGAAGTGCGAGGATCTGAGTTACTTGTGCGGAGATCACGTTTTTTTCAGATGTCAAGTCCAGGAGCAGGTCTTTGACGCTGTATCGAAAACGTGTCGTGACGGAACTCCATGGGGATGCGCCTCATATGCTGAAGTGCAATGTCGACACGGAGAGGTGAGCAAAGCCTTTACTAGAGGTGTTGATACTGCCATCTATCGAGAAAACTCGCAGTAATGAATTTCTTCTTAGAGAATTGTTGACCAAAATTCACCATTGTGTGATCGACGTGTAGTCGAGTGCCGTTACGGAAAATGGGTGGATCTACGATGCCCAGATGGCCACGTCTTTGGTAATATTTTTTCGTGATTCCTTTTTGAAAAAGTATTGACTGCTCAGAGGAAGTTCTATAACAGAACTCATCCCTGGTGTACAGGAATTGACGTATGGTTTATTACCGGACTAGAAAGTCTCTTATGAAGGCACAGTCAACGAAAGTTTTGGGACACCTAGTTCTGATAAAATAAAGTGAGAAGGTGTCTAAGAAAACGCGAAAATCGGCGTATTAAGAAAAATATAGGGCTTAAAAAAAGTGACGAAATTAGGGGTTGACGGGAATGTGACACCTGTCGCAGGGAACGGGAACCGCTATCTGCAATATGCTGCCTGCGTGCAAGGTTTAAGTCCTGGTGCGAGTGGTGCAACCTCTACAGTTTCTACAACGCTCAAAAACTTGCCCACCTTCGGCGTTTGCGTCGGCTAATCCGGTGTAGGCGAACTGTGAATGAGCTGTGAAATGTGCCTTCAACTAATAGTGACGATTGGACCATTCACCCGAACGACGAACTTTCATCTTATGGGAATTGTCGTTTCGGAGATGTAGTCCTTTCTGCTTTACACATTTGTGAGTTTCAGATGAGCCGACGCTCAACTGAGTCCAAGGCGTCTGTCCAAATGAGAAGCCGTATCCAGGACCCGTTGGACTACCAGGCCCTGTAGCTCCTCCACCACGTCCGCCTCCGCCTCCAGACAGTAACTTATATCGAGCAGTGCCTGTGAGTTTCCTTCTTGAAGGTTCATAAAAGTTTATCAATCCTTCTACATCTGGGTCTGAGGTGTTGTTGGCAGATGGAGGCTCACTGGTCATTTTAATACAGTAGCTCTTACTCTGCAACGGAAAAGGGGAAGGTGTTGTGCGCCGTTGTCCCTGATTCCTCTCCTTCAGCAGTCGATGTTNGTCTTATGGGAATTGTCGTTTCGGAGATGTAGTCCTTTTTTATTTTTGTGAGTTTCAGATGAGCCGACGCTCAATTGCGTCCAAGGCGTCTGTCCAAATGAGAAGCCGTATCCAGGACCCGTTGGA